TATATTTGGTCCAGATGTTCGTAATCAGAGCGGCCTTGAGCAGCACTGTGGCAAGTGCAGCGGTATATAGTGAAGTACCCCATACCCAGTGCCCTGCGTTGCGCCCGTCCCACTGCGGCCAATCCCACCATATAAAGGCTTGCGAAGCGTAGTACAGAATAAGTGAGTGGTAAAAGCCGTTGGCGACCCAGGACCAAAACGAGTGCATCTTGAAGAAGACGCCGGATTGGGTAAGACGATAGAGTTGCGGATATCGGTCTAGTAGGCGGGCGCTGACATATTGGTCGAAGATGCCAAGAACAAACGGCGGTGCAGCAGTGAAGAAGACGTTGTAGAATGTAAGTGTCCACGATTCGTAGATAATCTGGCCTGAGAATGCGTTCTGGCCGGAGTACCAAAATTGGGTCATGAACAGCGCGATATTCTTGTAAAATGAATACAGAATGACCTTGCTGATACGTTGATAACTCCAAGCCCCATGGACAAGTAGAAGCTTTCGCAGGTAACGAAATTGTCCGATTGAGATGTCTGCACTTCTGGCTGCTTGGAGACCCTCCATACCACTGATACCAATACCAACGTGCGCGGCCTGGATCATGGACACATCATTTGCACCATCTCCGATAGCAAGTAAAATGGCTTTGAGATGGCGTTTGACTAGTTTGACGACCAAAGCTTTCTGAAGTGGCGACACACGACAGCAAATGACAGCTTTACACTTGACAGCCAGGTCCAGGAATTCTTTCTCCAAATCACGCTCCAGTGCATAAGTAAGAGACTTGCCGTCAATAACGAGAGCCAGCACATCTTGTTCTGCGCCGCCTAAGCTTTGACTGTTGATCGCATTTAGCTTCTTTTGGATGTTATCGCGGGTCGCGTCTTTGGATTCTTCGTTGATGATCAACAAGCTCATATCCTCGCTGATCAATTTGCAACTCATACCAATGTTGATGGCAGTCTCTTGACGATCCCCAGTCAATACCCAAACCTTAATACCGGCGGTTTGCAAAGTAGAGATAGTGTCTGGGACACCTTCCTGGAGTTTGTCTTCGATTGCAGTGGCACCAAGAAGGGTCAAGTCATGTTCAATAAGCTCGGCAGCCTTATCAAGTTCCTCAGCTCGGTTTCCACTAACGGTCGTCTGTGCCTGATTGAAGATTTTGTACCATTCCTGCCACTCGTGCTCTGGGATCTCACGCATGGCCAAGCACAGTGTTCGCAGACCATCGGCGGCATATTCTTCGAGGTGTGTGAGTGTGACTTCGGTGAATGGGTTATCTTTGGCAAGCCTTTCCAGAATGACGGTATCTGCGCCTTTGGTGTAGCAATAAATCTTTCCTTCCGGCGAGCGGAAGATTGTTGACATTCGTTTTCGGGTAGAGTTGAATTCACACACGGCCAAGAGCTCATACTCAAGTTCCCTCCCATCAACGAGGATTCTAACAGCGCGTGGCTTACGGGCAATGAATCTATACCCCAGCTGGACAGCACCTTCCACCAAAGCTCCTTCGTCAGGAGATGCTGCTTGATATTTGATTTCACCCTTTTCGCCTTTGTTTTCTGGTATAACGGTGTGGCAGGTCGAGAGAAGCGTCAGAAAATGGTTAATGATATCTCTGTCGCGGTGTGTCTTGCGGTTCTCGGCGAGCTTGGCAAAATCATGGATACCAACTTCAACCCCATCTTCGATTGTGGCACGCCTGTCCTCCGGGACCTCGTCTGCGTATTGAATGCCAGCGATAGAAGATTGCCTAAATTCCATGATGTTCTGTGTCAAAGTTCCTGTCTTATCCGAGAAGATGTATTCAATCTGCCCCAGCTCCTCAACTAGGGACGAAGTACGGCAATTGGCAGGTGTGTCACTGGGCTCATAGTAGATGTCGAGATCCGAATCAATCAATGTTCCAGTCCAGTATTTGACAACCTCAATGGTGACAAATAGCGAGATGGGAACCAGATTGGAGTACAGGACCCAGTACGTCAGCAAATCAAGAAAGAATTGGGCGGCGCCGTTGAAACCGTCATAGCGAAGATACTCAAGGGTATGCCCTTTTGTTGTCCGAATCAGAACATCGCCCACGGAACTAACGATGCTTAGACCTATAAGAACACAAACAAGCATAAGAATCTGCTTGTTGACCATTCTCTCAACGGCAGTAGTCTTGATGGGGGTGGCAGTGGCGTTCCTCATGAGCTTGGTTTCGTGTCCAGTGAAAACGACCACACCGTGAATCCATGGTGTGTTTCTCAAAGTAGCCCCACGTAATAGTAGCTGATCAGGTTGTAGTGGTAGTTCCTTTTCTCCGCCACCAGCTGCAATCGTCAGCGTCGCTTCATAGGTATACAGGCTGCTGTTCGGCTGCTCCGATTTAATCTTTCCGCCTAAACGTCCCAACTCTGCTGGGCTAACCATATCTGCAGTCTCGGGAATGCCTTGTTTGATCTTCAAGTTCGTCTCGCCATCCAAATTTGCGGTTTCTATGTAGCACAACGCTTCCGGCTCAGACGAGGCGAGTAAAACCAAATCTGCTGGAAAGGGGTTTTCTGACTCAACGCGAACGATGTCTCCAACGGCAACGTTGATCCACCGAGTGTCCTGAAATGTTGAGCCTTTCAACACCTGTGCCCTTGAGTTGTTCAAAGTCGAGTCCGATTGTCTTCTGCGATAATCTTCTACGTATTCTTTAACGGCCGATACAAGTAAAACAACACCCAAAGGAACAATGGTTGTATATCGTTTTGTAGGTGAGATGCCGGGTATCTGCTGCAGTATAGCTGTAAACAGGAAGAAAATATTGGCGTATTTGGAGAACTGCTCGAAGAGAAATTTGGGCAGAAAGGTTATGACATTGTACTTGGTTGTGGATATATGGTTGTCGACGTATTTGTTTTGCGCGTTTGCGGGTGGATTGTTCAGGTGTATGATCCTAGGCCCCAGTGTTGATGGATCAGGGGCTCCTCTGCCGAAACCGAACTTGAACGTCCCTGATTTGCGCTTCTTTTGTGAAGTAGAATCTTCGGCGGTAGAACTGGGGAGACCGCGGCCTTGTTGCGCAGCGTTCTCGGTCAATGGCAAATCCATTTCCGAATATTCTGGTTTTTGGCCTAACATGCTCTTTACACGCCCAGTGATGTTTCCACCCATGCTCATGATGCTGTTTCTATTAGCCTTCTTAGACTGATTGCGACTTCCTTCTGCTGAAGCCTCATAGGTGGACCCGGCGTAATACCCCTGTGCCGAATGGTCGTCATCGGGTGGAATATCTGCGTCCGAGTAACGCTGATAGTTGTGCAGATCAGACGTTTGTGAATATAATCGCGAACCGCCAGTAGAGTAGGGCATATCCCCAGCGACCGGCGCACCAGGACCTCCTGGAAGGCCAGCAGTAGGCCTACCTCCCCCTACAAAGTCATCGTATGATACCGAGGGCCGGCCCTGCGGCGTGTCGGGATTATGTATATCGTATCGGTGTAAGAGTTCATCATCGTCAACGGGCGGCCGCGCGCCAGAGGAGTAGTAGGGGGGTTGATGGTCGTCGAAGTCGATTAGGTTCTCGCTATGCGAGGGCGGTTGTCCTGGCGGCCGACTGGCCATGGCGGCCAAATGATTCGCGTGTCTCTCCTTCCACTGACGATTGTCTCCCTCACTTCATCCAGATGTTTTGTACCGCGCGCCGATTTTTCCCTCTGTCACGGTTGGTGTGCGTGATCGGATGGTGGTGGTGGTGGATGTCGTGGTGTTGGGGGTATGGGGTATGGGGTAGAATAGAGAAGTCGTGAGACGTCGCTCCTCTTTCCAGCCTCCGAAGCTCCGCAGCCTTGGCCAAGGTTTCGGAATGACGAGGATGGCAACCAACACGAGCGCGGTGACAGTGGACGACAAAGCAGCAGTTGAGGCTGCACGTATAGAGGTGTGTGAAAAGAAGGCTCGAGATTGTTCTTGAGGTTTGGAAAATGGATCGAGGAGACAGAGATGCAACCAAGGCACGGACAGACTGTGTTCTTTGGGGCAGTGCGAACGCCTCAGCCTAGCAGTCTATGTAAGCGCGCGGTGACACCCCTGCCGCGTTTTCAACCAGCTATTGCGTCGTAAGCTGCTCTTGGGACTACTGAACGAAGGAATAGCAGGGCTGAGGGCAAAGGATGAACCAGAAGTTGTGCGCGTTTTTCTTCTCTCTTTTGCTTCTGTGATTCCTGGCATGCCGTGCACAAGGCGGCGCGTCGTGACAATCACGAAACTAGACTGCTTCCGCTTCTGCGACAAAAACGATTGTACTAAAGATAAATAAGCATAGCACATTCCATGTTGAACTCGCCAAATGCCTTTCCCAGGCTGCGGCGTGTGTACACGTAGAGAGGTTTACGTACTAACGGCTGTGCTATTTTGGTATAAGACCGTCCAAGTACAACCCTCGTGCACAGTGGTTAGGGATGCCGTCAATTTATTGAACGCAAGGACCGGGGTCTACGCCTCCAATCCAACGATGGATCATCGAGTAGGCTGGGACATGAATGACAAGCGCAAGACATGCAAGTGCTTGGATGTGGCTCAAGCTGACGACTTCCGCACTGCCAGCCTCGATGTCAATTAATTGCTATGCTGAGTAGTGAGATCGTAGACAAGAGACCATATTCAATTGACCTCTGACATTGGTCAACTGTATCTCGGTGGGCACATATTTTGTCCGATACAAGGACTGATAATATATTTAAATTCAACTTACAGAACAATTAACTCCTATTGCCCTGGAGACAGATTCTTTCGCAAGCGTGCGAGGTACTATGATACATAATTACCAAACGGTGATTGGATCAACTTCCGGTTGGTTACTCCCATGACACCGAGACTAGGTGAAAATCGGAGAGAAAAAATTGCACTGACCAAGGACGCGAGAAGACGGTAATCAACCCACCTCGATCACCAACTTTTGATTTCTGCCGCAATTTCTATCAGGATATGAACCCCTTCTTGCAAGAAATTTCCATTAATTCAATTAAAAGCCTGGTTAGCTCAATCGGTAGAGCGTGAGACTCTTATAGAGATCACTTTCTCAGAAAACGATTGATTTAAGCAATCTCAAGGTTGCGGGTTCGGTGAGTTTAATGATCTAAGGTTCGAATCATAGAGTGAACACTAACAGAATAACAGACCCCCGCATCGGGCTATTACATTTCTTTTTTTTTTCTATGTACCTGCTGTGAGTGATGATCTTTAGTCAGCTGATGGTGCTAAGTTTTAGCGTCCCGCATCGGGCTATTGCATTCTTTTTATTTTTTTTTGTTGCGGTGGTTTTGGGTGATGCTGAGGGCACGGGGGTGGATGAATAATGATAATCACGTGCATGCTATCACGTGGTGTCCATATCACTTCTTTTTTGTTCGTACCAACCAAACAGGGATCTTTCAATGTTGCTCCATCACTCGTTCGGTCCTGTTTAATTTGCTGTGAACATGTGAGTATGCAGGAATGGATAGCGGCATCCATGGAAATACATATGCATACGTGTGTGCACTGAGCATTTTTCCCAGCGGTGGCCTTATTATTTGGTTCCATGGCCATAGTATAGATCGATCGTAGTGCGATCTGGCAGTCTGTTTAGCTATGGAAACATGCGTAGCCGCCGTATTAAGGTATATTTGCATTTATGGCGGCGGACTCGCATGTGTCCGGACGGGCTGACGGACAAGACAAGTTGAAACGAGGGCGTCAACATGTATTGACATGTCTCACCATGGGGCAACTCATTGACTACATGTGTATATGTAAATATAGATGAAGACATAGTCGTTTCTGTGAATGTCCAATGGGACTCGACGTTGTTGTAGTTATTCATAGCTATTCGAGCGGGTGCCGATCAAGGGAAGCATGGAAGGTGGGTGTAGTGGTAAAAATTGACCGGCCTTTGTTGTTATATATTTTTGTTACATTAAGATAGTGAAGCAGGATCGATCCGCCTGGAGAAAGATCGAAGTCGGATCCGATTCCCTACATGTAGGCAGTGGTAAGTTTTATCATCATCCTCAATGTCGCCAAGCCATTGTTTCTGGAGGGGACCCGAGCAAACATGTGGAGCTAGCAACAGTAAGTTTGTATAGTACCGAGCGTAAACAAGCACGACAGCGATAACGGTGGAGTGATTATCATACAATAACGTTGAATGATGATGATGATGTAAAGGCTAGCCGCATACAGGCGGCGTCATGCATTGCTATGGGAATGTGGAATGAGGAGGGAGGGATATGGGCTGGGGCTGGACTGGGCTGGGCTGGAGACGGAGAGCGGAACGACAAAGAGCAAGCAAGAGGCGGACAAGCTTGACGTTTGGGGTAAGGGCGAAACGGGAAGCCGTCATGGAAGGATGTAAGCAGCGACACATGATTGGCAGCCGCCCTCGCGTTTCGAAATCCAGAGTCATCAATTCCATACACACTGCGCCTACGCTGTACACACACTCAGACACTCAGACACCCACACACCCACACTCACACCCACATTCACACAGACACAGACAGGTCTGTATCTTCTATGTATAGAACGAACTTGCCCCAGCTCTCCCCATCCACCACCACAAACCATCCACCCAGGTGGGTTCCCTGTGTGGTCAGCAGTAAGCAGCAAAAGGAATACAGCTAGCCATCTTTGCAGCCAACTATGTAACTATTGAGTGGATGGGTGGGATGAATCAATGAATCAATGAATGAAGGAAAGGATGGATGAAGGATCGGACGGAGTGGGATCATGGTAAAGGCTATTGCCATCACACGCATCTAAAAGCTTAGCACTCCAGCTATTACAGTAGTATGCAGATGAAACACTACGACTGCGCACAGACGCCACTTACATGTCCCCAAATGACTGCCAACCTCCACTGCGTGCGAGCTACAGGCTAACTAACTTACAGCACCTTAGCTATCTTTTGCTAGCTATCTATCTCACCGTACCGCGTGCCCTAACCGTCGAGTAATCAATCCACTAAGTTGGTTATAGAAGTGCCCGTCCTTGGGTGCGGCCTGGCCGGCGCAGGACCGCTGGACCGCTCTTCCTCTTTCTTCCTCTTCCTTTGCCCACGACCACCTCGATCAAATATCTTATAACCTTAACCTCTACCCACCCACCCGTCCATTGCCGTACCTGTGCTCGTACCCATACTCACAACTACCCATACCCATACCCATACCCGTACCCGTACCCGTACCCGTACCCGTACTTGTACCTCTCTCTCGCCCACTTCCCCCAAACTTACCTGCTCCGCTCTGCTCTGCGCTGCTCTGTTTTGCTTTGCTAGCTATAACTATTATCGCTACCCCAACCAACCCAGCTTCGTCACACACGCATTCTCCCCTCTCAACTCCCCATTCCGCCCGACCCTTCCTCCTCGACAACGACGACGCCGTTGCCCATGTACCATATATAGACCGTAGGTGCTGCTGCTTCGATACTCCTCCACCTTGCGCAATCGCCCTGGCCACCAATTCCGCCGCTATCCCGAGGCTGGTAGTGACACTACCCGCCAAACATTGCAATGAAGAGAAAGTTTGCCTTCAATCTTGCGCCCGTGGTAAGCCCGCCTTCCCCTTTCGCCTATCCATGTTTTGTTTGTTTATCGTCTGTTTTGTTTGGTTCCATTGATCCATTCTTCCTGTTTACAAAACACCCTCTGTCTATACATTCCTCGCACCATCTATCCTGTGCTCACACACCCACACAGAAGGTGCCCCCCACGGCCAAACACGCTGCGGAATCTGCTCCCTCCTCTCACACACATTCGCATCGCCGACATGCCAGCAAGGACAGCGTGCCATCGCTGGACTCTCCCCGTATAATTCGTCGCCATCTAGACCCGGTGACGGAGCGAGAATTGCGCGTAGCATGCAAACTGATCCTCCAGAACTTCAAACCCTCCGACGCAGAATTCGCCGATAATGATCCGAAGCTGGACTTCAGCGGGCCTCATAAACGAAGAGGTGACCGTGTCGAAGAATCGCACAAGTCTCATCTTGCCAAAGATGTAAACGTCTACCGACCCACCGGCGCCCCGGCCGATACCAGAACCTCCCGCGACACAAAAAAACACGCCCATAAGTCGGATCCTGCCGCCAAGGCCTATCCCGATTTGCCCCTGTTGGCAAACAGTAGCCGCCGAAGAGACATCCAGCCAGCGGACAAGCAGGTAGAGAGAGCCCGATCGGTCAAGGTGCCCGAGCGCGACGTTGTGAGGTCAGCACCCATGCGAGTTGACGTCGATTCTGACGATGCAAAGAGCCTTGCTACGCCCTTGACAGCATCAACTGATCCCCATAACAACTATGCCTCCACGGCGCCGACATCGGTGGGCTCCCACCGAGGCTCTCACCAGTATGACAGTGCGGCTGCGACTGCAGACGCCCAAGCTGCCGAGTGGATGCGCCAGGAGCTTGACAAGCGTCGGCCAAGAGACAGTGCTAATGTCTTACCTGACCCGCCGAGCTCCTCTCACAGACCGTCCAGTCGTGCCAGTAGTATAAAAGCCGGTATTCGTGACTACATCTTCCCTGCGTCCAGGAGTCTGAGCCGCACTCCGTCATATTCTTCTCTACGCACAGCAGACAGTCAAACTTCTGGGCAACAACTTAGACGTAGTGGATCAATGACTGGCTGGCGAAGCTGGGGCTTGCAGCGCAGGACCAGTTCGCGTAGTAGCAGTCGACCGGGTACATCTAATGGACACGTAGAACGTCTGGAGCAGGACAAGAAGGCCGAAGTGGACTTGAACAGGAAGCTCCCACCTTTACCTAGTCTGGATACATGGAAAGATCCCGAAGAAGAGAAGAAGGAGCAGCCTCAAGTTCAGGTACCAGGTGGTCATATTGCGAGTGTTATGCGCACGCAAGGTCAGCCACAACACCAACAACAACGGCAGGACTATGCAGCGGCGGTGCGCAAACATCATCGAAAGTCCGGCTCTGACTCCATTCCACTGCGAGTGGCAAATGCACGAAACCCCCCACTCGTGGTACCGGTCCCTACACAGCATACCACTCGCAAACATTCAAATACAGAGGTCGACTCTATGATGTCGTCTATGACATCAACACGAAATCTCGATGATTTACTTACGCTTCATGTGGGGGGACATGCACCTCGGCGAAGCACGGGATCCATCTCTCACTCTTCTAACATGGCAGTTGGCGGCGCTGCCCCCAACTTCTCACGCAAGATCAGCAGTGAAATCCCACCCTCTATACTTTCCCCGCGTGGACTTCCATACTCCAATGCGGTGGAAATATCAGCGGGTGCAACGCCTAAAGAAAAGCAAGAGCAAAAAAGTAAATTAAGACAGGTTTTTGGTGGGTGGATGCTTAAGAAAGACAAGAAGGATGATTGGATGCAGAAAGTTGAGAAGAAGGGGGTCAAGGGTGGAATCATGACCCAGGAGGGCGCTGCGCTTCCGCCTGTTGTGCGATATTGAACCTGATGATTGATGTATTTCCACGGCCAAGGTGCAACTCTCTTCGTGTCCCGTCAGCGGGTCTGTCGCGATTGTTTTTTGCTTTGTTTCTTGGTTTCGGTATCCAGCACCAACTGCATTGCTGGCCTCTCGGGCGCTTCTTTTAATATTAACATATACACCGCAGTTTTATCACCACTTCATACTTAGCGCAAACAAAAGCTGGACCATTAGTGTACCTCATAGTATAATGCAAACTTTTACCCTATCGTCTTTCCAAACTGTGTAGTGTCCTACAGAACACAAGGCTGACGGAGAACTGCCGGATAATGAACCAACACACCACAGAAAAATAAAGAAGTCAAACCTAGGGACGTTTTCGAGATCCCTGCCATGATGTGCTACTTTACTGGAATTCTCAGCACAATAGCCGAACGAGGCTCGCTTTCGTGCATGCCGGCAAATGAAAGCTGTTTTATCTACCCATCTCGGCAAAACAAAACCATGAACTGGCTTACATCGGGAGAAGCAAGATGTTTGTTTCATATATATGGGGATCTCTAGACCATACCCCTGGGGGTATAATCGAACAATAGTAATAGCTGGGTTCCCCTTCGGATCGCTTCGCTTCCGGACGTTGACAGATATAATAAGGACATGGTGCTAATTATATCGTGTATGCACCTCTACACTGAGTGTTGGATAT